CAATGCATAAGCAACAAGACTTCATCAAAGATAATACAATTGTGATTGTATGGAGAGTGTAATAGGTGATTGGAGTTGACCCTTCAACCCCCCCCCCATGCCTCTTCTTAAATAAAATTGACTCCTATTGTGACAAACGGCGACTTTTTTTTCTATTTTTGTAAGCTTGAAATGTGGGTTTGTTTGCCCATAGTGTGTTAACAATAGACTTTCCAGCTGTTATCGATGTTGAATCACCATGGAATGAGGGGGGGATCTTGGGGGAGTAAGTTGGAGATTTGGGACAGGGAAAGAGATGAGAGAGGGGAAGAGAGGGGGAGAGGAAGGGGTGGGAGAGAGAGAGGCACATCCGGATACCTCTCCCCAGGTTGACCCTGCCACCTCCGGCCGTCCTACCTAAGATATATATATAAATGCATATGCCAAAAATATTGGATATTGCTTAATACAAGAATACCACTCCCACCTAGAAGATATTTGCAACTGTTGAATCTGAGACAATGAATGCCTCGCCACTTGTAATATTGTCATGGAGGGCTCACAAGTGCTCCGGAGCTCACAGGGGATCCATTGTGGTCAGTGTCGCTCAAATTTCCCAGATGGGTCTCTGAGGCTCAATTGTGAAGCCTTTAATAAAGTGACGCTCTTGGTGAAAACCCAGTAATCTAGAATTGGATTCGACAAAGAGAGAAACGTAATTTTCCTGAGAGTGGAGGGTTGCCGGTGATACAATCTGGAGACAGTCTGGGTCAGTGGTGTCCAGCCCCAGGACAACGGGAGATGCTCAAGGGTTCCATGGGATTAATACTGTGTGTGGCATTGTTCCAAATTAAGAACATCTTATGAGTGGGTTGAACTGAATGTCACTTTATCTCTTGGGACATTTATATACGTTGGTATATATCAATTTTGCTAGTTCGATTTGTTATTGGAAGGGCTCATAGGTGGGAACGTGGGTGTAGGGGTTGGAAAGGTGGGAATAAGATAAAAGGTTTTGGGCAAGAGGAGGCCTGGTCGACGACCGGACCGCGGGGACGTTGAGCCCCGGAAACACTTCAAGGTAACTTGGGAACTATTAAGTGAACACAAGTCATTTGGTGTATGGTGAAAATTGTTAGGCTGATTGGGCGGTGATTCCAAGCAGTGTGTGTGTGTGTGTGTGTGTGTGTGTGTGTGTGTGTGTGTGTGTGTGTGTGTGTGTGTGTGTGTGTGTACGTACGTGTGGGCACGCATTCGCCTCCACTGGAAAAGCTTGTAGCTGGAACATGAGGTATTGTGTTGGTGTCAGCAGAAGGGAGGTGCCCTGGTCCATGATTTACGCCAAACACAGCCAGTCGCAGGTGCCGGCGCCAGCCTGGCAACCCACCTACGGTGGACGGAAATTAATCAGTGTGAGTGATCAAGTCTTGTACCCATGAGACTTAATCACCCGATGAGCGTGTAGCTGAATGTGCAGCAAAGCGGCCGCCGTGGGAGACGCCACCACTTCATGCACTAATTGACCTAATTTAGACGAAAGATGCTCGGTATATATATATATATATATATATATATATATATATATATATATATATATATATATATATATATATATATATATATATATTGCTATATAATATATATATAAACATATATATATGTTTACTAGGATTTCTTGGAATCCTAGTAAACAACACAGAAATCATCGATAGATACAGCGATAGCAGGCGGCTTGACGTTTGCGAGGCACTACACATCAAGAAGTCAACACCAGCAATCAACAGCCAATTATTGCACAACTATATTCTACCCACCTCAAGACTCCGCTCCAATATAGAAGCATCAAGAAATATGGACCAATAGGCTTTCTACAAACACTTCTATTCAATATCCATTGTTTCGTGTTCTGTCTTGTGTTGATGAAATTAATACCCTATTAATACTCTTGTTCTGTCTTGTGTTGATGAAATTAATACCCTATTAATACCACATTTTGTTCTGTCTTGTGTTAATGCCACATCACCCCTTCCACCTCACTCAAATGTAGATATAAAATCGGAGATACGTAAGTTCTATTCAGTTGTGTATTTGTGAACTAAAGTCTTTGAAAATGTAATAAGTTTTACGAAACGCGCCCGTGTCGCGTCAGACTAGAAATAAAAATGAATTTTGGAGAATTGATTTTTGATTTACCTCCAACAGTGAAGCGTAATGTACGAAAGATTGAGAAAATTCGTGTTAGAATTATTAATCTTACTTTTTCGGTCATATTTAATAATATATATATATATATATATATATATATATATATATATATATATATATATATATATATATATATGTCGTACCTAGTAGCCAGAACGCACTTCTCAGCCTACTATGCAAGGCCGAATTTGCCTAATAAGCCAAGTTTTCATGAATTAATTGTTTTTCGACTACCTAACCTACCTAACCTGTGTCCGTATCATGTTTGAATCACTATGTCCCTATCATGTGTGGGTCACTCTGTCGAGGGGCGTGGTTTCAGGTGTGTATTACTGATAAAGTGAAATATTTTGGATTTATTTACTGATTTAGTAAGTAATAATTCAATTGTGGTTTAAAATATTTGTAAAAGTATGAAAAAGTGTGAAAATATGGATTGCGTTCAATTAAGTTTTGCTTCTCTCTCTCTTACAGCTTATGTCAGCGGCGTGACACTGGTGTCAGCGGCGTGACACTGGTGTCAGTGGCGTGACACTGGTGTCAGCGGCGTGACACTGGTGTCAGCGGCGTGACACTGGTGTCAGTGGCGTGACACTGGTGTCAGTGGCGTGACACTGGTGTGTCAGTCGGCGTGACACTGGTGTCAGTCAGTGGCGTGACACTGGTGTCAGTGGCGTGACACTGGTGTCAGCGGCGTGACACTGGTGTCAGTGGCGTGACACTGGTGTCAGCGGCGTGACACTGGTGTCAGCGGCGTGACACTGGTGTCAGTGGCGTGACACTGGTGTCAGCGGCGTGACACTGGTGTCAGTGGCGTGACACTGGTGTCAGCGGCGTGACACTGGTGTCAGTGGCGTGACACTGGTGTCAGCGGCGTGACACTGGTGTCAGCGGCGTGACACTGGTGTCAGCGGCGTGACACTGGTGTCAGCGGCGTGACACTGGTGTCAGCGGCGTGACACTAGTGTCAGTGGCGTGACACTGGTGTCAGCGAGGCTCCAGCTCCTGGGTGACGGCTCTCCCCCCGGACAAGTATGTATGATCTGAAATTTCTGTACTGGCTTGTTCGTAATTAACTCAACCTATCCTCCATAAGTTATCTTATAACATAGATATAACTTATAACATAGATATAACTTATAACATAGATATAAGTTATAACATAGATATAAGTTATATCTATGTGGTCGCGCGTACCAATATGTACTGCTGGAAAGTTCACGTTTTGCTCACTTAATTTGATCAAGTTCGAGAAAAAGCTAAAAGCCAAATTTAAACATTCATACACCTTGTATAGTACATATATTTACTTTATTACTCGTAAGGTAGCGTGTGTTAGGTCCGAGATTGCTTGGTCAGATTAGGTTAATGCTTTAGTGTCATTTTCGATATAATAGAATGCCATTGTGGGCGAATGGTATCCCAGTTTCCCCATAGCTGATCTCAAGAGCTTCTGCAGGTACAGTAAGCCTGGGATGTAGCTCTTGTGTGCTCACAGTTTACAGAGGTGCACAAGGTCTCTCTCTCTCTCTCTCTCTCTCTCTCTCTCTCTCTCTCTCTCTCTCTCTCTCTCTCTCTCTCTCTCTCTCTCTCTCTCTCTCTCTCTCTCTCTCCCTCTGTATTTCAAGGAATCTTAATGCCACAACAATGGTAGTTAGCTCTGCTTGCGTCAACGAGGCATAATTCTCAATACTTTAATTTTCTTAATTTCCGTTTTGAAAGACATTATTCCTAATTATGTTGCTCCAGACCTGCCGTTAGTAGTTGTTGAAACATCTGTGTAGATTTGATCTAATTCATTTCCGGCTTTATACATTTTCTCGAGAAATTTATAAGACAATTACAGGCAAACTACCTGATTTCCTCTGGCATCATATCAGCATAACACCCATACAATGTAAAAACAGATCAATATATACTAATATATGTATACACTGTTATATGTGTACACTATTAAATAGATCAATATATTCTATAGATACAAATAATGCTGAAATGACATCATAATTTTGTTGTAAATCAATGGCTTAATTAGTTAATGATATATGCAGGCGATGAGTCACAATAACGTGGCTGAAGTATGTTGACCAGACCACACACTAGAAGTTGAAGGGACGACGACGTTTCGGTCCGTCCTGGACCATTCTCAAGTCGAAACGTCGTCGTCCCTTTAACTTCTAGTGTGTGGTCTGGTCAACTTAATGAAATATATATTAGAGATAAATAGGGTGGAAGGTTGTGGTGTTGACTAGAGCTTTATCTAGCGGGTGTGGCCTGGGTGGTGTCACACTACACAGCCACTTCACCAATTGGGGCCACCTCGAACCACACCCCAATTAACAAATACATCAATCCACATCCTCTAAAACACGGTGTAGCCTATTTGGTATTCATAAGAGACAGAGATCAATCGTTGTCTGGGGGTATTAGCATATATATGTTCTCCTGTGTTATCCAGAGCAGGTAGAACGGACTGGTTATAAGGATAGATATCAGGGTATCGTCGCTTGGCCTGATGGTATCGTTGTGTGTTGTGTGTGTGGCGTGAGGTTGGGCAGGATATCATCTCCCACAGCTCCTAATGTCGTTTTCAAGAGTTGCTATGTGTGTGTGTGTGTGTGTGTGTGTGTGTGTGTGTGTGTGTGTGTGTGTGTGTGTGTGTGTGTGTGTGCGACAAATGTATGTGAGCAACTGGGACAGTTGATGCTATGTATATATATATATATGTGTGTGTGTCTGTGGTAAATGTATGAGAGGAGCTGGGACACATGTATACTTAGCGGACCAGGAGAGACATATGAGTGGGGGCAGCTTACCCTGCATGTAGGGGATGAGTCTGCACATGACGGCGCCGAAGACGAAGTCCTGAAGAAGGGAGCCGACGAGAGTGAAGGGCATACAGAACACTCCCAGTAGCAAGTCTGACACCGCCTGAGGGGGAGATTGGGGGGAGATAACTGATCAGGTAAGGATAAATCTGTGGGGTAAGATGGATTATATGTCTTACTCAGGATATCTAGATAAACTGTCTCAAGTTAAAGGCAGAAGTGAATTTGGAGACAATTGAAGAGTAAGATCTTAAGGAGGTGAAGAAGAATGACAGAATCTTCTACACCAGAAAAAGAAGACAATCATCAAGTAGTCCGTGGCATCTGCAAGACAAACTTACGAGATTCCAACCAAGAAAAGTAATAAGAATGACGTGAATGAAGAACGAAGAGAAGATGACGAATTATAAGCAAGTTCTAATTGTCGGTGGCCGCCCGCCAAACACACACCCAAACTAACACGTTGGTACAACGTTCGAACAAGTTTTAACACCTAACCAGTTATAACAACCAATATAACAAGTTGTAACAACGTTCTAATACGTCATAAACACGTTAAGCCAAGATGTAACAACTTTATTTCAAGTTGTAACAAGCAGAAAATAGAGACAGTTTGGGTTTGTGTTTCCAGGGCGGGGGCTTCCTTCACTGACCAGACATTGTTACAACATTCAAGAGAGTAATACCATGATGTCCTTCCCCGGGAGTCCGGAACGAGTCCACTTGAGCTTTTCTGAGCTGGAGTGGACCAACTCTAGCGGCTTAAACTCCTGCAGGAGTGTGTATCCTACACCACATTCTCTCACTCTGCTACAACGTTGTAAATTCATCGCCCAAACCTAACCAGAAAAGCAGGAACCCAAGCCACTCACCTCACCTAATTAATCGAGGCGTAAAAAATTCAGTATTTTTGCGAGCCACTACTTTCCGTAGCACGTTACATTTTGGACGTTTGGAACCATAATGAACCATAACAACATGTCAGTGGAGAGGCCAGTGTAGCCAGGACGAACAGACGTGACTTGGAACTTGCGATCAGCTCTTTAAGAACCACATTTTTATGTGTTTTATCAACAGGGGTAACAGGTAGTGTCAAAGGTGGGTCAACAGGGGTAACAGGTAGTGTCAAAGGTGGGTCAACAGGGGTAACAGGTAGTGTCAAAGGTGGGTCAACAGGGGTAACAGGTAGTGTCAAAGGTGGGTCAACAGGGGTAACAGGAGTGTCAAAGGTGGGTCAACAGGGGTAACAGGTAGTGTCAAAGGTGGGTCAACAGGGGTAACAGGGAGTGTCAAAGGTGGGTCAACAGGGGTAACAGGGAGTGTCAAAGGTGGGTCAACAGGGGTAACAGGTAGTGTCAAAGGTGGGTCAACAGGGGTAACAGGTAGTGTCAAAGGTGGGTCAACAGGGGTAACAGGAGTGTCAAAGGTGGGTCAACAGGGGTAACAGGTAGTGTCAAAGGTGGGTCAACAGGGGTAACAGGGAGTGTCAAAGGTGGGTCAACAGGGGTAACAGGGAGTGTCAAAGGTGGGTCAACAGGGGTAACAGGTAGTGTCAAAGGTGGGTCAACAGGGGTAACAGGTAGTGTCAAAGATGGGTCAACAGGGGTAACAGGTAGTGTCAAAGATGGGTCAACAGGGGTAACAGGTAGTGTCAAAGATGGGTCAACAGGGGTAACAGGTAGTGTCAAAGATGGGTCAACAGGGGTAACAGGTAGTGTCAAAGGTGGGTCAACAGGGATAACAGGTAGTGTCAAAGATGGGTCAACAGGGGTAACAGGTAGTGTCAAAGGTGGGTCAACAGGGGTAACAGGTAGTGTCAAAGATGGGTCAACAGGGGTAACAGGTAGTGTCAAAGATGGGTCAACAGGGGTAACAGGTAGTGTCAAAGGTGGGTCAACAGGGGTAACAGGTAGTGTCAAAGGTGGGTCAACAGGGGTAACAGGTAGTGTCAAAGGTGGGTCAACAGGGGTAACAGGTAGTGTCAAAGATGGGTCAACAGGGGTAACAGGGAGTGTCAAAGGTGGTTCAACAGGGGTAACAGGTAGTGTCAAAGGTGGTTCAACAGGGGTAACAGGTAGTGTCAAAGGTGGGTCAACAGGGGTAACAGGGAGTGTCAAAGGTGGGTCAACAGGGGTAACAGGTAGTGTCAAAGGTGGGTCAACAGGGGTAACAGGTAGTGTCAAAGATGGGTCAACAGGGGTAACAGGTAGTGTCAAAGATGGGTCAACAGGGGTAACAGGTAGTGTCAAAGGTGGGTCAACAGGGGTAACAGGTAGTGTCAAAGGTGGGTCAACAGGGGTAACAGGTAGTGTCAAAGGTGGGTCAACAGGGGTAACAGGTAGTGTCAAAGATGGGTCAACAGGGGTAACAGGGAGTGTCAAAGGTGGTTCAACAGGGGTAACAGGTAGTGTCAAAGGTGGTTCAACAGGGGTAACAGGTAGTGTCAAAGGTGGGTCAACAGGGGTAACAGGGAGTGTCAAAGGTGGGTCAACAGGGGTAACAGGTAGTGTCAAAGGTGGGTCAACAGGGGTAACAGGTAGTGTCAAAGGTGGGTCAACAGGGGTAACAGGTAGTGTCAAAGGTGGGTCAACAGGGGTAACAGGTAGTGTCAAAGGTGGTTCAACAGGGGTAACAGGTAGTGTCAAAGGTGGTTCAACAGGGGTAACAGGTAGTGTCAAAGGTGGTTCAACAAAATAGCAGATAGCGTCCAAGATGCGTCGACAAGATAGCAGATAGATCGAAAATTGACTAACAAAAGGAATCGACGAAGTTCAGAGAATCTGTGTTTGGGAGTCACAACTTGACTAAGGCTTCCTATGCTTAGAATTGAACCAAAACAAAAAAGTTAAGATCCTGCTATACCTAAACGGGAAATGGGAACACTGTTTTGAATATATGATAATATTGCAACCAGTAATGCGAACAAACCTGTTAATTAACTTGGATACGGGTAAAGTTAGGAGTGTGTGACACATTTATAAGTACAGTAGAGGAGAACTATTGAATTAGGAGCAAGGAAGGGATCCCAATTTGTGACATTCTACGTAGAAGGGGGACATGGAAATGGATGCTGTCAAGGGCTCCTGGTGTCCATTGGCGAATAGATAAATATGGCTAGAAAAAATTGCGATATAATTTATTGGCCACTGAGGAAAGGTCTCTGAACACAAATGTATGCAAGGGGGAGGGTGTACACGTAGTTAGAGCAAGGGAGATAAGATAGATATAACCACTGTAATAGATAATAACCTCTCAAGAAGGCTGGTAGCTCGTGCCCCTTCGTCAGACGCTGCTGTTAGTGTGGTCTGTCCGAATTTAAATTAATAGATAAAGATACTGACATTTAGAGATGGATGGTTATGCAAAGTTGCTTTCGGAAACTATTACAAGCAGGAGCTATTGTAAAAATACTATTAAAAAGCTCTTAAATATACACAAATAATGAAAATAGATAAAAAACACATATGCAGCTAAATTCACTCGAGGTATTCTACACTAGAATGGAGAATCTCCGAAACTGTAAGCTGAAAAATAAACATATTCGGGGATATAATCTTATAAACACAGATATAACTATTAGAGGAGAAGTGTTTGCATCTGTCTGTGTAAAAGTGTAAATAGTGTAGCTGCGTGTGTGAGAGCGGAGGTAGTGTAGCTGCGTGTGTGAGAGCGGAGGTAGTGTAGCTGCGTGTGTGAGAGCGGAGGTAGTGTAGCTGCGTGTGTGAGAGCGGAGGTAGTGTAGCTGCGTGTGTGAGAGCGGAGGTAGTGTAGCTGCGTGGGTGAGAGCGGAGATAGTGTAGCTGTCTGTGTAAGATTAAAGAGCAAAATGTTGTGTTAAACTGGAAATTTACACACACATGCACATATAGAAACTATTTATTTCGAAGATACCGAGCTGTAACCATCTATCAACTGTCAACACACCAGCCATCAACTGTCAACATACCAGTCATCAACTGTCAACACACCAGCCATCAACTGTCAACACACCAGCCATCAACTGTCAACACACCAGCCATCAACTGTCAACACACCAGCCATCAACTGTCAACACACCAGCCATCAACTATCAACACACCAGCCATCAACTGTCAACACACCAGCCATCAACTGTCAACACACCAGCCATCAACTGTCAACACACCAGCCATCAACTGTCAACACACCAGCCATCAACTGTCAACACACCAGCCATCAACTGTCAACACACCAGCCATCAACTGTCAACACACCAGCCATCAACTGTCAACACACCAGCCATCAACTGTCAACACACCAGCCACCAACTGTCAACACACCAGCCATCAACTGTCAACACACCAGCCATCAACTGTCAACACACCAGCCATCAACTGTCAACACACCAGCCATCAACTGTCAACACACCAGCCATCAACTGTCAACACACCAGCCACCAACTGTCAACACACCAGCCATCAACTGTCAACACACCAGCCATCAACTGTCAACACACCAGCCATCAACTGTCAACACACCAGCCATCAACTGTCAACACACCAGCCATCAACTGTCAACACACCAGCCATCAACTGTCAACACACCAGCCATCAACTGTCAACACACCAGCCATCAACTGTCAACACACCAGCCATCAACTGTCAACATACCAGCCACCAACTGTCAACACACCAGCCATCAACTATCAACACACCAGCCATCAACTGTCAACACACCAGCCATCAACTGTCAACTCACCACACAACTCACTAAGCAGGTATTCTCATTAAAACTGCCACAAATAAGAAAGCGAACACAAACAACGGTGCCTGTAGTTCCAACGGCTGACCAGAGATCAAAGCGTAATATTAACGAGGAATGCATCACCGCTGAACTACACCGGCCCACCATTATTGGCCAATATATTAAGGTGATATATGTGCCAATTAATCTGGCATTATAGCCAGATATTAATCAACCATGGTGGTTAGAAATAAATCGAGCGGCGTAGCCAGGGACTTGCCCTGTATTCTAGCCAGTGATTAATCCACCAGCAGCAGTAAAGCAAGGATTAATCCACTCTGGGTCAGTATAACCTTTGCAGAGATGGATATACAGCGATCCGTTATGATTGGAGGGGGAAAT